TACTCTGTCCTACAGGGTCACTGTGAGTTGGAACCGACTTGATGGCAGTGGGTTTTTCCCTGAATACTTCACTCCTACTCTGTCCAATTTGACAAGCACATGAAAGTAGAATAGTTCTATAGAGAGGCCCTGTTTGGGTATCACCAAGGCCTCACCACCGCTCTCTATCATTTCACCAACACCTCACCCACTGGCTCTCAGGCTGCAAAACAGACTGCCAGAGTCACTGCTTATTTACTAGCTACCAAGCTGGACAGGAAGACACTGGATTCTTTCAGCTTAAAGAGAGAACATAAAAGAAATATTAAGAAGTTTTCCCATGCCTTCTGACAAGTAAGAGGTAATTCAAAAGATACAAAGGGTAACTGAAAAGTTAACATTCAGTAGCTCCACAACACTAAGGATGAGGCATCTGGACCAATGATGTGAAGAGGGAAGGCATACCTTTTTCTTTTTCCCAAAAATACTTTAAATGAAAATTGGATATATACCAAGCACAGTACAATTACCCTGATAAGCACGGGAAACAATGCTGCGTAATGTCCAAGTGTAACTGGGAGGTATCATTGTGAGGCCTCAGAAAGAACTGTCCTCTCATGCACACTCTAGACTAGCATTTGTTGTTGTTGTTGGGTGCCTTCAAGTCAATTCCAACTCAAGCTAACCTCATGTGACACAGCACAACTGTTCCACAGAATTTCCTTGTCTGTAATCTGTACATAAGCAGATTGCCAGGTCTTTCTCCCATGAAGCTACTGGTTGGGTTTCAATCACCAACCTTTAGGTTACTAGTCAATCACTTAAATCATGCACTACAAGGGTTCCTTCAGATTAGCATACACTGTGATTTAACTACCAAATGTGGGGGGAGGAGGGAAACTGCCACACTGAGTTATTACCAACTCAAGGAAGTCAGTAGAAATAATATTGACTGTTGACAAAAGAAAACAGAACAGAGGGCTCAGTTTTAGGGATGACACAGACCATGTCAAAATGTGCAACCAACAAATGCAACCTATAGACTTATTTTACTCAAAAGGCTTCAAAGAGTTTGTCTTTGTATAACAAACTCTTCAGTCAGTTAGGAGATGATGGCCTCATGGTATTCACTGCTTGCTCTGTAATAAGATCAGTTCCCTGGGGACCTGGCTCTGATACCAGCACTTGTCTGTGATGTTGCGATGGTACCTGCCATGGGCTTTACTCTCCTGAAGTGCGAGAGGAGAGAGGAGACTAGATCCCTCAAAGCGTATCTCTCTTTCGAACATACCGTGATTTGCAGACACTGACTTTTGGGGCAATTGTGAACTATTTCAGCAGCTCCTTTTGCATGTTAACCAGCACCATATACGTTTTAATACCAAACTTTAAAATTTCTTCTGTAGCCTAGATATTTGGACTAGAAATATCCACTTTTTCCATGTACAGTGGCAGAAAATATTAATCCTTTAGCAAATCAAAAGATATGACCTATAAACAAAATTCCTGGGTTTGGCAAAGTTGTATCCCCTTCACCTAATATACCTTGAACAAAGAAGCTTCTAGAGAATAAAATAAATTTTTAAGTAAGTTAGTATTGTAGAAAATAAATAAAAAGTAGCTTTTCTAGCATCAGGAAATCATCTCACCTGAGGTGTCAGCTCTACTTCTAATTCACCAGCTAAGTACTGCCGTTCAAATTCTGCGTTTTCTCCCACGTAAGAAGAAATCATGCGTTTTATCTGCTTGGATTGAAGTAAAAGGCCCAAGCCAAAGTCGTCGACCCTAGAAGGAAAATGAAAGTACCTTACAATCAAGGGACCACTCCTGACTAGACACTGTTATCACTTATATACAAAAAGAGATGAAATTTTAGTGCCTAAGGCATTTGACTGTTAACCAGAAGGCTGGCAGTTCAAACCCACCAGCCACTTCTTGGAAGGAAGACTGGGCAATCTACTTCCATAGAGATACCACCTCAGAAACCCAAGGAGGGGTCACTCTAAGTTGGAACTGACTCAGCAGCAATGAGTTTGGTTTTTTTGGAGACGAAAAGAAAACTTTTCTGCTAAACATTTAACCTACATATTCTTAGTCCTGCCTCTTACCCAAAGAACCTTGTAAAGTGGCTATTGTCTTATTTTACAATCAAGAAAATCAAAATTCAAAAATAAAAGTTCTTATGCAGTAAGTGACACAGCCAGTATCCAAAATCATTTCAGCCCTACAATCCTACCCTAAACTCTTGCTTCTTTCCACTGCTCCAAAGTGACCCTGGGTTAGAAGATGAACTCAGGGACAGGCTGGTTCCTGCCCTACGTTTTACTTAATGCACACTTCAATGCAATGTGCTAACATGCACTGACTCCCAAGGAAGACTCGGACAGAGCTCTTTCCATTCTACGGAAAAAGGGCAGGAGAGAGATCCACTCTCAGAGTTCTTATTAAAAGAGAGATCATCACCATACTTGTGAAATATGAAACCAAATAATAATGCTCTGAATATTTTCCTTGCATAATAGATATTTTGATTTACACATTTAAACATCTTTAGCAAAAAAATCAGCAAATTAATCACAAATCAGTGAAAAAAATTATAGGTAGCAAGAGTAATCCTGTATTAGTTAAATATAATATGGTTTATAATATGGTTATTTTAAGGTTAGTTCAGTTTATTCTTAGAAATGGTATGTATGTTTTTTTAAAATTAGGTGCAGTCCCTTCCTTCTTTATTCTATTTTTTTTCTTCAAAGCAAACACACCTAGAATTTCAAGCAAAGTCCATGTGACAAAAATCGATTAACAACTGAATGTATAATATTTCATTTTCAGTCACCTTATCCTTCTCTTCCACCCGAAAGTTTCAAAAGTACTTGGACAAGAGTAACAGCATTTCTGACATAACAAAGAATACTTTGAACTTAAGGTATAAAATAATTTTAAAAGAACTATGAAAAGGGGAACTTACTGCTTATGGGACTCTGAGCTTTCATTAAAAGTGATGGGGAAACTTAGATAATGATCATGGCTGAACAACATGATAAATGTAATGAGTGTCACAGAATAACACATGTGAAGAATGCCGAAAAGGCAAACTATTTGTTATATATATATATACCACAAAAAAAAAACCTTTTAAAAATACATATAGTGAGCCTTGCCCAGCACCACCCTCCCTGTTTATGTCCCCTGCCCAAGGCACAGCCCCCTTCACGCATGCCCATCATTCCATGTGGAAATGCCATCAGCATGACAGAAACTGCTCTACAAAGTCGCTGACATCAGCCTAGCCTCCTGGGGACACAGCCTCCTGGGGACACAGACCCTGAACATGGTGTCAGGCATGACACCACGTGTAACAAACCATCACCATTTCTCCTAACATCAGGTTTTTCACCTGCCTTCATGCCATTCCTCATTCTAATACTCCTGATACTCACAGGTGGCCAATCCAGTTCAAGTAACCTTTCCTAGTTCTCAGAATGTATTGTTTCCAAGCCTCTCACTTCCACCAGTCAGGAGAGACACACTCTATACCTCACAGGAGCTTAGGGAACAGATCATCAACCTTTTCCCAACATTATTTTATAGTCCTAGGCTATGAATCCTGAATATGGTAATATTTCCCACTCATCATGGTTATCAAAGAAACAGCTGCATGATTTATTCTCACTTGTTTCAAAAGAAAATTAAAGCCTAAATAATGTAAGCACTTTCAAGAGTATATGTTAGAGTAATGGGGAGAATTACATGCAGGTTGAAAATTCACTTGTCCACCAGAGGTCTCCAAATCACTAAAGATTCTATCTTTCTAGGACTCTTACCTCTTCCCTAACCCATCTCATAAACAAAATGCCTCTGACTTCTCCTTTTTTACCTAATCCTAAAAACCTGGCTATCTGCTCAAATAAAGATCACCAGTAGTCATCAAGTTGATTCTGACTCATGGTGACTTCAGAACTTCTCAGAGTAGAACTTCCCCTAGGGTTTCCAAGGCTGTACTCTTTAGGGGAACAAACTGCCATATCTTTCTCCCACTGAGTGGCTGGTGGGTTTGAACCAGCAATCTTTTGTTTAACAGCCAAGCACTTATCCACTCTGTCACCAGGGCTCCTTCACATAAAGATTACAGCCTAGAAAACCCTATAGGACATTATCTACTCTGCCACATGGGGTTGCTGTAAGTCCAAATCAACTCAACAGCACCTAATAACAAACTAATACCCAGCTATGTCCCCAGTTCTTGAGGTTAATCATTCTGTTCTTGAAAACTCAGCTCCACCTGCAGGCTTTCCCACCTCAGCTGAAAGCAACCCTGTCCACACAGATGTTGTTGGTGCTGTTGTTATGTGCGGTCAAACTGGATGCTCAGTACAAAACACAATGCAGTGATCTTTAACTTCTTTCTCATATAAAATCTATCAGTCCACTGCTCACTCCCTCCTCTGTGACTTGTACCATCTCTCTTGCCTGGTCACTGCTTAACCTTCCCTGCTTCTGCCTCTGCCCCTACTATGTACTCACAGCATGAGAGTCAAAGTGAGCCTTACAAAATGTAAGTCAGATCATGTCACCCCTCTGCTCGAAATCCTGCAGTAGTGCCCCATTCATTCAGAGTGAAAGTAAGGATCTCTATAAAGTGGCCAGCAAGGCCCACGTGATGATGGCCTTTCATGTGTCTGGTCTAACTCCTCCCACTCTGCCCTTTGCTCACTTCTCCAACTCTCTGAGCCTCCTTACTATCTCTCAAACACACCAAATATATTCTGCCTAGGGGCCTTTGCACTCACCTTTCTCCACCTAGAGAACTTCCCTCATATAACTGCATGGCTCACTCCTGCTGTTGTGGATCGAACTGTGTTCCCAAAATATGTGTTGTAAATCCTAACTCTAATTCCTGTGGTTATAATCCCATTTGGAAATAGCTTTTTTGTGATGTTAATGTAGCAGTATTCATATAGGGTGTATTTTAAGTCAATCTTTCTTGAGATCTAAACTGAGTAGACTGGCACAGAGAAGCAAACAGAGATGGGGGAAGATGGATGTCTTGTCACATGAAGATCACCAAGGAGCCAAGAAACAGAAGCTGAAAAGTCAAGAGTCTACAGAGCTTACAGAGAGAAATTTTTTCCCTAGGATCAGAACTTCTAGCCTCCTAAACCATGAGGAAATGAATGTTTCTTAAAGTCACCTACTTGTGGTATTTCTGTTATAGCAGCCCTAGAGAACTAAGATAGCCTCCTTCCTCCAAGTCTCTGCTCAAAAGTCAACTCCATGAGTCCCACTCTACTCACCCTAAACCTGTCCTTCCACTTTCATGCACCTAATCCCTCTGTCTCGCTCTATTTTTTCTTTTTCCCATAGCATGACCTTTTAACATACTGGAAATTTTACTTATGTGTTAGGCATACCATTTATTGTTTGCCTCTCCCACTAGAATGTAAGCTGAAGGCAGACAGAGATCTTGGCCTGTTTTGTTCACTACTGTACCCCAAGCACCCAGAAACATACATGGTACACAGCATGCTTAAATATTCATTAATACATGCTGAATATTTACAGAATGAAATTATTGCTCAACTCCACTTCCCCCTCTTCTCCAATAAAAATGAAAATAATCAAGTCAGTGTGCTGGATATTTTCTGTCTGAGACTCCATATCCATTCTCCAACCTTCTCTACCCTTCCCTGGGCGCAGCATAGTTGTCTTGTATAGACTGAATCTTGGGGATGTCTTGCCCTCTGGCTTCTAATTGGATTCCGTCAATAGAGGCACCATTATGAGACCAGAAGGTGAGTACAGACTGAGCTCACAGTTTATAGCTCCCTCTTTGACAGGCTGTGGGACACTGGACAGCTCTCTCCATGAAGCTCTCTTCCAGCTCCTGACAACAGCTCCCTCCCTCCATCTCTGATGGCCTAGGACTAGTGGCAATAATTCTCTTCTGTACTAACTCCAGGGGTCTTCACTACTCGTGTTGCTTTCCCTAAACCTGACCATTCCTTAGAAAGAGTCCCTTAAACTCTCCTCAATTATCCAATATGAAAAGTACTGGGATTGCCCTTGGAGTATGTCTTATAAAGTCATAATAAAATAATCCATGAAAGTGATTATAATTAAAGCCCATTTCCCTTCCATAGTTTTAAATATTTAAAAATTTCTACCAAACCCCCTCCAATACTACAGGTCCATAATATAAACCAGATACAGTTGGTCATTCATTGACTTGGGAATTTTTCTAACCTACTTGAGCTGCTCTTTTTGGCTTTTTAATCATTACAATTTGAACTTGGCTGTTTGGAGATGATCTCCTTGTATCTGTTGATATTGGCTCTTGGAATCATTGCAGGATTGGCCTTTGCTTTGTTTCTAAACTAGCACCTGGCATGGCAACCAAGAAGAGCATAAGATGCTGAGTCCAGGCTTCCACATAAGCAGGCACAAAGTCAGCCTTCACGCCAAGGAAAATACTGTTAGATGGCTTCGAATCAGAATGTCTTTCTTGCCACATACTCACTTTTCAATTCACAAATTCAGCAAGAATGTATTACCTTCCATCCTATGGGCAAAACACTGATGATATATAAACATATTAGGCAAGTCCCTTACTTCCAAGAGCTCACAGTTTAAAGAGAGACAAAAGACATATCTGATCTTTTGCAAATGAGGAACATACAATTTCTAATAGAGAATATTGTTGTTAGGTGCTGTCGAGTTGTCTCCAAATCATAGCAACCCTATGTACAGAAGAACAAAATACTGCCCGGGCCTATGCCAGCCGCATG